AATAATCTGTTATTCTATTAAGTTTTCCAGTGGAGTTGTTATTCCAATTTCTTCTCTCTCTTTTGTTGTATTTTAACTATAGAGTATGAATAAAGTGTGTTTTGCTTCAAGCCTGGTAATTTGACCAATCGAGTGACATCTAGAATGCAATGCCTGGCATTGCCTTTAAAATAAGAAAAGTTTAGGGTCCTTTTGATATATTTTGACGGGGTTTGGTATGGTCCAATTCAGACTGATAAGTACAAGGCACATATCATTTACATCATGTCTCTTTACAGAGAGATTCAGATGTATATTTGCACGCGGGTCACTGAATTTTTATAAACAGTTGGAATCAAAATTCTGCTTTGTCTCTTTTCTTCTTCCTCTTGGCACAGGGATCTTTGAAGCACTTTCTCCTGTTCTGTCCTTGGTGGGATGAGATGAAAGATTAAATCTTCGATGTGTGGCTCAATGCTATTCTAGATGATGCCTTTACTTTGAGGAGGACTGGCCATAAAGTTTCCGAATCATTAATAAATCAATGGCTTGCAATAAAAAAAATCATCCATATGCTGTAGGAAAATAATTAGTCTAAGCATACACATTTGTGTGATAGCCACGTCACTGCTCCTTCCTTGTGTCAGTCAGCATTGTTGGCAGAGCTGAATCTGTATCCTTGTGCTCTATAGCTTAAATTATGGCTTTTTGAGTAACAGTCTGACTTTCAAAAGACAAAAATCTATAAGCCACTGCTTATTTATTCATTTATTTACACTGGTTAAGTGGGGGATATTGTACTTCATTTGAAATACTGGTGACAGATGGATAAGAGACTGAAAAGGTCAATGAATAGATGAGAAACCTATAAAAGTATAAGACAACAGCCGAATGAAAGATGTGGGAAACTTCCAACAGGAAACAAGCTTGGCTTTTGGCTGGCTGCAGTGGTGATTGGCAGAAATATGTAATTGCTTGAGGTTGGAAATGACATTTAAATTTAAAAGGAAAAATATTAATAACTAACTTATGTTAGGACTAAGCACCAGGTCTGGATGGATTGCATCTGCACATTTTCGAAAAATTTCTGGGAGGATTGACAGAAGCACCAAGACTGAAGTGTAACCTTTCATAATAGAAAGATGTAATGCCAGAAGAATAGTGGTATAGCTAACTACCTGTATTTAAAAGATGAGGATCAGGTAGTCAGCCAGCTTAATATTGTTTGTCAGAAAAATAGTGAAATCCCTGCTAAAGGAGAAAATAGAAAAAAAAAATCAAGAAATAAATATATAATGAAGTATATTTGGGATAGAATTCAAAAATGAAATTTTACCTGACAAACTTTGGTGAATTGCTTGAAGCAGCAACTGAGACTGGACAATATGGTAAAGTAAATATAATTTAAATAGCATTTCAAAAGACATTTGGTACAGTGTCAAATAATAGACCAATGAATAAGATCAGAACTCCGAGCAAGGGAGCAACGATTATAGAATCTCTGCAGTGCAGAAAGAGTCCATTTGGCACGTCGATTCTGCACTGACCTGCCGAAGAGCATTCCACACAGACCCAACCCACTACCCTATCCCTGTAACCCTGCACTTCCTATGGCTAACCCACCTAACCTACACATCCCTAGAAACTGCGGGGCAGTTTAGCTTGGCTAATCCACCTAACCTGTATATCTTCTGGACAGTGGGAGGAAACCGGAGCAGCCAGAGGAAACCATGCAGACACAGGGAGAACTCCACACAGTCACCTGAAGGTGGAATTGAACCCGTGTCCTTGGCGCTGTGAGGCCGCAGTGCTAACCACAGAGCCACCATGCCGCCCCACGGTGAATAAAGATTTGACAGAAGGTGAAAAGTGGGTTCTACAACCGCATGTTCGCAATTTGCATTGATTCAAATTTTGCAATCAAATGTAGTTTAATTTAGCTAATGGCAGCAAATTGGGAGGGGTCATCACCATTGAGGAAGACTGCAATTATTTCTAGGAAGCAATTATTAAACTTAGAAAATGGGCCCACACTTGACAGATTAATTACAATGTAGATACGTGTGAGATATTTCCTCAAATGCTTTGATCAGGTCTGGAAAACCTATTTCGATCCTGATTGGACCAAAACAAATCACACTTTTCTCTTTTTAGAGGATTTCTTGTGAGATTTTCTGATCTTCTCATCCTGTTAGCTGCAATAGGCCAGTGAGCCAGGCAGCCAGCAGTACCAACACATGTCCTTCTTTCGTGACAATTCCTGCTGTATTTCAGGATTTAAAGCTCTTGAAACTCCTTTCAGAGCCCTGCATGAAAGTAACAGGTAATAGTGAATGGTTGAGTTGGCAGGTGGATGAGGGTTAGGGGAGTATCAAAGTTAACGAAAGCTTGGAGTAGTTTGGTGGATTAATGTCGGGTGGGGGGTGGTTGGGCAGAATGTTGGGAGTTGTTGGTACACACTTAATTACTAAAGTGATCATGGGATGGAAATGGGCTGCGGTGAGGAGTCATGCTAGGTTGCAGCGGGGGCTACGGTTGGATCTGTGGGATGTCGAAGATGGTTATTTTAATGGGGTTGAGTCCGGAGAAAGTAGCTATCAGGTCTCTATGGGCAGTTGGGAGGAATGGGCGGTAGTTGGTTAAGGAGAGAGCTGGAGTAGAGTTTATTCTAGAGGAGTGTTAGGGGAACTTGTGGGTCACATTTGGTGGGTTTAGTATAAGGCCCAGGAGAGGCTTGTTAGGGGCTTTGTCTGAGATGGGGTGTGGGTGCATTTGGCTGTCTGTAATTCTTCTCCCTATTCCTAGATAACCAGACCACTCAGAATCCTGTCAGTGGTGGGGACATTATCAGCAGCATCCAGACATTGACTGATTTCCCATCAGATGTTTCCACTTCCAGAGCAATTCCCAGGGTGTCAGATGCAGTGGTTCTGATGCACAACTCCTGTCTATGCTGTGCAACAACTATCATCTTCAGTGAAGATGTGGTCCATTATTTTTTGATTAGAAAAGTATAGTTATCACACGGTACTTGGAAAATAAGAATCTAAATGGTTGAAGAGCAAAAGGATCTGGTTGTCCAGACATACAAGTTATTCTAAGGAGCAATACAGGTTTATAATGCCATTTTATAAAAGCAAACCGAGATTTATTTTCAGGGGGTTAAAATTGAGAAGTGGAGAGCTTATTATAAACATGTTTTGAAATGTGTTTAGACCACACTTAGAGTACTGTGCACAGTTTTGGTCACTGTAATGCATAAAGGATATATTGTGGCAAGGGTGCAAGAACTGGTGACACTAGGAATGTGAAGGTACATCTACTGGGAGATATTGAACAGGCTGGACCTTCCAACACTGAAGGCAGAAAGGTGACCAAATGTAGATTTTTTTATTACAATTGTGGTAGAGTAGGCACAGAGTATGTTTTGACTTGGGATGAGATAGAAATAAAGAAATTGAAAATAGCTTCTTTCCATGGAAGGTTTTGGGAATGTGGGACACACTGTACCACAATAAGAAGCTCAGGCGAGTAGTAAAGCCATTTAATGGGAGGCTTGGTAATTGTGAGAAAGGAACAGTGGGTTATGCTGATGATGTGAGGACAGATGGAGGGAGAAAAAAAGTTGGAGTGGAGCATGACGTTAATTGTAGACTGGTTAGACCAAACAGTCTGAGTGCTTCATCTCCCACATAATTATTTCTATATGTAGAACCTGTAATTAGAAAATAGCCAAGCTGCGTTACAAACCAGAATAAGTTAAAGAAGGAGCTGTGACAAGATGTGACTAAAATCTTGGCCCTGAAAAGTTTTGAAGTAGATTTTAAAGGAAAAGGCAGGGAGGAGTTCCATTATGTAGGGCCGAAACAGCTGAATGCACGCCCACTAATGTGGCCTGAACAGCATTGAGAAATGCTGAGACGACAGAATTTGACAAATGCTGATTTTTTTTTTGTTCTATTTTTGGAGAGTTATTGGGCTGAAAATGTTTCTTAAGGAGAAAAGTCAAGGCCCAGTAGAAGTATAAACTGCTGGTGCAATGGGCATGGGTGTTCCAGTAGGTTGGCGAGCCTGTCTCTGTGTGGTAGATTTTTGGATGAGCGTAGATTCACGGAGATTGAAGATCTGAAGTTGGAAAGAGAGCAGAGGAATCGCCCTGGTGGTGACTGACATGCATCAAAGTTTTTAACATCTGTATTGATTATAAGGATTTTGTGGCTCACTACTCCATGCAAGTCTCCATTTTTGCATGCAGAAGATGATGTTCAGCAGATATTCTTGAAAAGCAATATAGTGGGATGGCAATTTTGCATTTTGATTCTGTTTAAAGCAGTATTAGTTTCAGAACTGGCCGAACTGTTCTCGTGTCATTTTATGTGATTGTAGATGAAATAAAATGTATATGATTTGCTGCATTTCTGAACACACTTGCACATCATCTATTTTTTTAAACTTGCGTATAATCCTACAGTAATATCATCTTGAGGAATAGATGAACACATCATTCAATATCTTTGTTGAGAAAGTGCTGCAGTATGGCAGTATTTAAATTTTGTAGCATTTTTGTATCCATATTGCAAAATCCCCTATGCAGGATCATACAACATTACAGTTCAGAAGGAAGCCATTCGGCCCATTGTGTCTACTAGCTCCTGAAAGAGCTACCCAGCTGATTCAAGACTTCAACCCTATCTCTGTAGCCCTTTCATCACTTTCAAAGATGTATCCGGCTCTCTTTTGAAACCTCCTATGGAATCTGCTTCCACCACTCTCCCAGACAGAGCACATTCCAAATCCTAACGACACAGTACAGGAGTTTATCTCCTCTCTCTCCCTAACTCTTTTGCTGACAATTTGAAATTGTGACCCCCTAGTTACTGACACAGCAACTAGTGGAAACAGAATATCCTTTTTTTAACCCTGTCAAAATTTGTGCATCATTTTGAACACCCCTCTTAATTTTCTCTTCTCCTAGGAGCAGATTATTTCTTTATGCCCTGAACATTTTTCTTTTCTTGCAGGAAGTAAAAAAGGATACAGAAGCAAAAGAGGAAAGCCCCGTGATTAAACGAGAAAAATCTGGAAATGTTGCCAATCTTGTACAGCGCATGAGTCATTTTGGATTCCCAATCGCTGGGTTACCGCCTCAACCAAAGTCTCTCAGAAGAAGTAAGTTATAGCACTTCAATGACTAATTCTAATTTAACGTAGTAAAGTACTTCATAGAAATGAAGTGATTATTACACTTGGAATACTCTTTGGCAGACCTAATGCACATCAGAACAGTAATATAATGAACATATGAAATCGGAGCAGGAGCAACCATTTGGCCCCTCAGGCGTGCCCTGCCTTTCGAGAAGAACATGGCCAATCTACCTTAGGTTTCAGGTTCTCTTTTGTGCCAGCTCATCATTAGCTCTAAACTTCCTGGTGCTTCAAAATTCCGTCCTCCTCCTGTTCAAATACTTTCGGTGATCAAGCCTCCACAATTTCTGGGGTAGAAAATCTCTTTGCATCTTAGTTTTAAATGATTGCACCCTAATTTTGAGATTCCCTACAAGTGGAAAGAACTTCTCAACATTTACTCTGTCAAGCCCCCACAGAATCTTGCATGCTTCAATAAGATCACCCTTCATTCTTCTAAACTCTCATGAATAAAGGCCTTATCTGGTTAGCCATTCTTGAGTATTCAACCCCTTCATCCCAGTAATCAGCCTAAGTGAATCTTGTGAACAACCTCCAATGCCAGTAAATCCTTTGTTAAATATGGGGACCAAAACTGTACACAGTACTATGGATGTGGTTTCTCAACAAAACTGTGTAGAGTTGTACCAAGACTTCCAAGCATTGAGCATTTGATTTCTTAATAAATGAAAGCAGAAGTCTGAAAACAAATCTCAGGATCTAGAAAAGCTTGACCCAGTTTGGCAGCTCCTGCCCAGAGAAACAAAGTTAGTATTTAATCTTGAATGTGATTCTACTTTAGTTTCAACCTATTTGACATGAATATATCGACTTTATTAATAATGCTTTTACATATTTTGGACAACATTCACAGCCATTTTTTATAGAATATAGACAATGTGACAAATAGTTTACATTTGTTCTCATGTGGCTTCATGTTTAATGGATTTTGCAAAAAAAAGCCTCTCTTTCAAGTATCTCCCATCTCATTCAGACTCGCCATCTGTTAGAGGATGTATCAATTTTGGGAAAGGGTATTCTTGGCATAATGTACCAGCAACATAAATTATTTTACTTGTGGCCATATTGCTGCCATTTGTATTCCAGTCATGTAAACCATCACCTGAAATTGACCTGAGTGACTAGAAGCAATGATCCAGATTGTACTTTTTACTTGAAGAAAGTCAGTATGAGTACCTATCTGTGGAAGATTTTGTTTCATTTTCCAGTGAAGTTTTCATCCATTGCAGTCATATGGTAAATAATAAAAGTGAAGTCCTTGGCCGCTCTTCCATTAGAGAGAGGTGTCACCATGCCTCAGGAGAGGGGAAAGGTTGAGAAGAAGAAACCTTTGTAGTAACCTCAGTTGGTGTAGGAATTGAACCCATGCTGTGGGCATTAGTCTGCATTGCAAACCAGCCATCCAGCCAACTGAGCTACCAGACTAACCGAAAGTCAAATTTTTAGCTCACCACTGTAAAATTATCACCACCTTTTTTCCTAACCCAATGGAAAAAATAATTTGGTTGTTTGAAAATCTGAAGGCTCGTTGACACTTCAGTTTATCCATTCTGGTTGAGAGCGGGGGCTGTAGAGAACATATGTTTCACTCAGTCACCATCATAAACTGTAATTTATTCCAGTTTTGTTTATTAGACGACATTCTTACTGACTTTAGAAGTCCATGATGTAGAGAAACTATTAACAGCTAGCAAAGACTAAAAAAATGCAAAAAATAATTTTATTTTCAGAATTAATTTGCTCTGTCTTAAATTTTACTTGTGGCTTTGGTAATCACGGTATCTCAGAATTGCTACAGTAAGCAAGGCGGCCATTCAGCTCATCTTGTCTGCACTGGCACTTCAAGCAAACACCATCATCCAGTGGCAACTTCCTGTTTTTTTTTCTCCTTCCCATATCCTTGCCCACTATTTCTGTCCAAATAATCATCCAATGCCCTCTTGAATGCCTCAGAACCTGTCCCCACCACATGTCCAGGCAGTGTATTCCATACCCTAACTACTAGCTGAGTAACAAAGTCTTTTTTCTCAGATTACCATTGTGTCTTTTGCACATCATTTTAAATCTGTGCCCCCTCGGTCTCGTTTCTTTAATGAGTGGGAACAGCATCTCCCTACCTCCACATCTACTCCATTCAGCCCACTCAGTTTTAATCTCCTCTCAGCCTTCTTTCCAAGGAGAACGGTTCCAACTTCTTCAATCTGTCCTCAAAACTGAAGTTTCTTATACCTGGAAGTATTCTTGTAAATTGCTTCTGTATGCTCTCTGAAGCATTCACATCTTTCCTATGATGTGGTGCCCACAAATGGACACTACTGCAGCTGAGATCTAACAAATGTCTTACACAAGTTCAACATCACCTCCTTGCTCTTGTATTCAATGACCCAGTAATAAGACCCAGCACACCAGTAGGGTCCATGATCTCCCACATGTCACAGGTCACATGTGCTACTCGACCGACCTGAGGTGCCGTGTCTCAAACTTAAACTTGTTTAATCTTTCTTACCTATATTGTTAATTTCTTAGTCTTACAGTTGCCACCCTTTTCACTAACTTTACTTTCCTCCCCTGATCCTACGTTGGCTACTTTTATACTAAGATATTATTTTAATTCAGACTTTCATTGTACACTTGTATAATTTACAGCTATTTAGGGACAGTCCCTAATGGCACCACCTTGCCAGCGAATGAACTCAGATTTTCTCTGTCACCCCAATTTTTTTTCCACCTCACCATGTTGAAATTGCAAGCAGTTGAATAATGAGTGCGCTCAGGGTGGGATCCATTTATGTTATACCCGCTGCCCCCAGGCTGTTCTAAATATTTCAGGGCTGGTTGAGTCATTGTTGTGACTCAGGGAAATGTGACTGCTAATTTGCATAAAATGACCTGCATTCAGTATGGATAGGTATCAGACAATCTGGGTTTAGTGGTGTAGATTGAGAAAAAAAGTTAGCTCGGGGAATTCCCACCACTTTATCAAACAATAGCATGGAATCCTTAACATGGCAGATAGTGTCTCATTTTCATGTGTCATTTGAAAAGTGTCAGTTCCGATTAGTGCTGTCCTCCCTCCGTATTATTAAAGTGTTGAACTGAGTTTTGGTGTGTGATGATACAACAGTATTGATTCATATGAAGAAAACTTATATTTTTGTATATAATTCTCTCTGGAAAGTGGAGTATGGGTCCTTTGGAACAATAAGGGCATGTGTGTTCTTCTAGACCTATTATAACATAGTGTTTTCTTAAAATCTCATCCTTTGGGCTGTTTATACTTTCTTTAGGAACCTAAGACAAAGACATTTATTCTTGTGTCAGTATTTGCATGTTATCCCTTATACGGTAAAATTTAAATCCATGCTGTGTAGCAAGTACAATGTTACCTCATTTTAGTAAATTGACCTTAGTCTTCACTGCTGCATGAATAATTGAGAAAATAAAGACCCAAGGAGTAAGTCACACTCCTTAGCATAAGTCTTCTTTCTTGGTCACAAATGTCATCTTTGTCCCTTCTCATGCCCTTTGCTCAATCTAAAAATGTTGGCAGTTGCATATTGAACTTTTTTTCTCTATTCCATTTGTGAAACTTTCTGGTATGACTTGTGCTTGAATTATTGGACGTGATACTGTCTTGAGCATACAAGCACATCCTTTGTGCCTTGGTTTTCTGCCTTTCCCTCTCTTTTTTACATGCTGTAATTTTGTATAATATCTTGAAGTATGGGGTCAATTTTCTGATGAATGCTCATGATACTGAGGTCTGTTAGGATTATTTTGCATTTAATCTGCAATGACTCCTGGTTACCATCACTGAGACCTGGAACCAAAACTTTTTCCAGGGTAATGCAAGAAACATGAAACCATTTTCTCTGACCCCTGTAAGCTCCAACACTCCTCCATCTATTATCCTATCTGTTTCTTCAAGATAAGCCTGGCATGTGAACCTTTGGTGAAGTGCATAATTGAGCATCTTCTGGCACATCACATATGGATAAGGCTGTTACTTTGCCTTAAATTTGCTCACCTCTTATTACCTCCTCTTTCCTCCTCTTTCTGTCCTGTTGAAATCTTTATGCTTATCTTCTATACCAGGCTGGACAGCAAGATTTCCGAGTTGATTCCTCCATTTGTACCATCCATAAGGTGAAGTAACACTAAGGCATGTATGCTGATTAGTAGCATCATTGTGAAATCATCAGTGTGCAGAAGGACCTGGGTGTCATTGCGTATGAATCACAAAAAGTTGGTTTAAGAAGGTAAATGGAATATTGTCCTTCATTGCTAGAGGGATGGAGTTTAAAAACAGGCAGCTGTATAGGGTTAGTAAGAACTGCAGATGCTGGAGTCAGAGGTAACACAGTGTGGAGCTGGAGGAAAACAGCAGGCCAGGCAGCATCAGAGGAGCAGGAAAGTTGACTATTCTGAAGAAGGGTCCTGACCTGAAACATCAACTTCCCTGCTCTGATGCTGCCTGGCTTGCTGTGTTCCTCCAGCTCCACACTGTTATCAGCTGTATAAGGTGCTGGTGAGGCCACTCCTGGAGTACTGTGTGCAGTTTTGGTCTCCTTACATGAGAAAGGATATAACGGCACTGGAGGGGGTGCAGAGGAGGTTCACTAGGTTGATTCCAGAATTGAGGGTTGGCTTATGAGGAGAGATTGAGTAGAGTGAGATTGTACTCATTGGAATTTAGTAGAATGACAGGGAGATCTTACAGGAACATATGAAATTATGAAAGGAATGGATAAGATAGAAGCAGGGAGGTTGTTTCAACTGGCAAGTGAAACTAGAATTAGGAGGCATAGCCTCGAAATAAGGGGGAAAGTTTTAGGACTGAGCTGAGGAGGAACTACTTCTTCTAAAGAGTTGTGGATCTCGAATTTCCTGCCCAGTGAAACATTTGAGGCTACCTGGTTGAATGTTTTTAGGGTAAAGATAGATTTTTGAACAGTAAAGGAATC